GGGGGGGGGGGGGGAATGTAAAAGGTATTCCACTAGAAGTTCACACAATTACTAATGACATAAATTCATGAGTTTTAACATAAAGAACATGCTTCCTACATTCAGTACTACCATTGCATATAATATTGTAATTAATGCAATTTACAACAAATAGTAAACAACTAATCTCAAACTTAATCAGTTATAACAAAAAAAGCTCATCTCAAACTCAACTTATGCACAAAGTATAGCAGGTCCCAGCCTATAAAACATGAAGGTTGCAGTAGGTTGACATTCTTAGTATGATGAATCCACTGAGTGCTGACCTAGGATAGAACGTAATGGACATTGAGGACTCAGAAGCTGACGGTTGGCTGGTTGATTGGTAGTCGGTAAACTAATTCCACAATACAATGGCCAAATTAACGTTGCACGTGAATCTAAAATATGTCTCAATGAAGCATGGGGGTAAGGGAAAGAGAAGTGGGAGAGAGGTTTGACATTGCCCCAAACAATTGAGCGGGAAAACAGTGTTTCGTTGTAATTAACTTTGCTCAATAAGTTTATATAAAGAGAGAGAGAGACAAGCAGCATTTACAATAGTTTGCTTTATCGAAGGACAAAGCAGGAAACAGATAACAATTTCCACTACTGTCTTGCGGCACTTCAGTATATCAGACTCTAAGCAAAGTTTAATTTCATTTAAGAAACCAAAGAGTAACACAAAAGGATAATTTAGGAGATACCTTAAAATGAACGTTTGGGTGAAATATTTTGGTCAGGAACCGCACTTGAGGAGGTTGCAATGGATACTGCTCTGGAACTGAGAAAGCGAGCTGGAAAACTCCACCATCATAAGGAGTTTCAGATGGCCCCTGTGCACACCATGAATGAGCAGTCAATTAGATCATTAACCAAAGCTTTTTTTGTCTTCTTTTTGGAGGGGGGGTTGGAAGAAAACCATGAAATTGAACATAATAGAGCATATTATAGCGGAGAATACTTTAACAAGAGCCGTCCATTTAAAGATATTAGAATCATCACAAACTAATTGAATATCAGGATCAGCTGTTTTCTCTCTCTGTACTTCTTTGTACTCCTTGAAAAGCCTTGCCCTTGAAGCCTACATCATCAGAGAACCAGGGTTAAATGTTCCAAAAGGTACACAACAATAGAATATTTATTAGGATACAGCTATAAATGTTGAAAGGAGTGACCTACGTCATAAGAGTACTAATTTCTCCACTCTAACATCTTTACTCTAACTAGTTTACACGGTCAATAAAAAGTGCATCCCTTTAATAAATTCGAATGACAAATTAATCTTCTATCTTTTTCAATTGTTTTTTAACTTCTTCTCGTGAAAAATCTGATTTTAAATTGTATATCATATATGCATTCTAATGTCAAAGTTGTATGCCACATTATTGTAATTACATATGTACTTATCTTGCTTGCATGGTGCTAGTTTGCACCAAAGAAACCATATAATTGGTCAGAGTATGAAATTGAATGTGCGCAATTAAAAGCAAGTAACAACAAGGAATGACACATACCACTCCCTCTTCCTTCCAGGATTTTTACAAAAAAAAAAGTGTTTGCCAACAAAAATAACGAAATGTTTGAGCTGTAAAGGTATTTTTTCATCTCATGAAAACTTACAGTTACATATTTTTATAAGATAAATATTTTTTTAATGATGCCCCTTATACCAAAAAGTAGAGAACCTACACCAAAATATGGTTCTCCACAAGAAACCCTATCTTCTATACAACTGGGACCTTATGGGTACACCGAAAGCAAAAGACTACTATGCAATTTTACAAAATTTTGGTCTACCCCTTCAACTGCTCTCCTATTTCTCCAACTTATAAAAAAATGCTCCTACTTCTCTCTTTCCATATAACCCACATAATGGCTAATACTTCTCTTCCGTCCTCTTAAAGGTCCAACAATGCAACACCTCTTTTTTTGTGCCCCTGCATCACCCATTGCCTTTCAAACCAACTAAGGACCATCGAGCACAATAGTGTAGCCACCTTACAATTCAACAAGAGATGATCCACTTTCTTCACCCACACATCTGCACATGAACCCCGACTAACAAAGGTGATCCTCTTCTTAGTTTTCCACAATCAATATCACATCCCTTGCTGCCAACCATATAAAGAAATACACCTTATTGAGCACAGCACACTATGAACCCAAATAGAGCGGAGCAGAAATGTAAATTCCTCTCTCAATAACAGGATTTAACAGTGAACACACCGTCCCTATGCTCTCGACATTTTCATAAGTTGGATGTAGTGAGCGGTGCGTTTTGCCCATACTGTTCAACCAGGTTATGAAATTCGCCCAACTCCCATCCTAGAGTACTCCTAAATCTCAAATCCCAATGTTTCCCCAGCATATTACCTATGAATCCGTTGGACTATCAGCTCTTTCTAGTACGAGACTCTATATATATATTACGGAAAGCATCCAATGTTTAATGAATCCTATAAACACTCCTTCATCAAGACAATTCCTTACTTGACTAATCACTGATTCTCACCACAACTCAAAAGTTACCTGATCACTTTTAACTGCCAAATTCCATCCAAGCTATATCATAAACAACATGACAATATGACCACAAATTCCACAAAAACTAAATCCTCTTATACATTAAGCTAATCACTGATTAAAGCTCCAATATCCTATTATACATCAAACTAATCACTGACTAAAACTCCGATATCCTATTATACATTAAACTAATCACTGGCTAAAACTTCGATATCCTATTATACATTGAACTAATCACTGACTAAAACTCCAATATCCTATCCGACAATAACTCCGATATCCTATTACACATTGAACAAATCACCGACTAAAACTCCGATATCCTATTATACATTAAACAAATCACTAACAAAATCTCCCATTCCACAATAATCAACTGCCAATTTGCCAATGATAAAGAAAAAACCAATGATAGCAGTTATGGTCCAAAGCCATTAACGAAGAAACATAAGAACCTAAACCCGAAAACCCAAAACCTAGTTACAATAAATACAAACAAACAATTGGATAATATCAAGATCATCAACCATAAGCAAAACAAGAATAGATTAATAGATCAAGCAAAATGATAACAGAACACAAACCCACAAACCCAAAACCTATTTAACAAACAAAAAATGGAAAATTGAATTATGGGTAGTAAATATCAAGAACAAAGAAGAATTTTTTTTTATAGATCAAGCTAAGAAATAACAGAAACAAGAATCTAAAAATCAAATCTTTAATCAGAAATTTGGTAATAAAAGAGAAGATATTTAAGGGTTACGAACCTGCATCCTTATTGATTCGTCTACAATTAGCACTTCAAAGCTTAAGAAGAACCTAAAAAATACAACAGTATATATAGTTAACACAATTAAAACAAAAAAAAACTACAAAAACTCCCATAGTAGATATAGAATAAGCTCAAAAAATTTCACCTTTTTTTGCAGAAATTACAGAAAATCTTCAAGAGAAATTAGTATTGTTGTTCGTCGGGCACGGATTCCGATGAGTATCAAATTCACCGCGGCAGTCTTTTAAGTTTTGGATGGAAATATAGGCCTCGTGAGGTTTTAGAAATGTCAAAGTTAGTCTTCCAAGTTTTAAATAGTTATTAAATTGACTACTTTATTTGGTTTATGTTGTGTTTGTTCTGAAAAACCATTTCACTATGAATTTTTATTTTTTTTTCCGAATGTGGACTCTGAAAACATGTTTGGCCATAAAATTCAAAATTGAATTCTAGATTTTTCAAGAATTTGAAAAATAACAAAAATTTGATTGCCATAGTCGAGTCTTGCCTCTTCCATAAACAACATCTCTACCTCTACGAGAAAGTGATAAGGTTTGCATACACTCTACCATTCACAAACCCATTCAGTGATCATGAAATTTTTGTTTTTTTTTTCACAGTGAACTCTAGAAAACATGTTTGGCCATAAAATTCGAAATTGAATTCCAGATTTCAAGAATTTGAGAAACAACAAAAATTTGATTGCTATAGTGAAGTTGAGACTGCCAAAAACATCTCTATCTCGCCGAAGTAGTGTTAAGGTCTGCATACACCCTATCCTCCTTAAACCTCACTCGTAGAATTTCACCTTGTGGTGTTGTTGCATATTAGCTTCTTTCACATTTTCACTTTATCTTGGCCAATATCTTAAATCAATTGCTTCTTGGTGTTTTACTAAATGGTAGTAACTTAAAATACAATATTTTATGACATGTTGACAAATGTCTAGTGAAAAAAGGTTACTGAAAGAAACTATCAACTTTGATTCAACCAACTGAACCATTCATTACTCCAGGAAGTAGGTTCATCTGTTCAAGTTCAACTATACAAATGAGACATAAAAGAGAAAACTCATTGCAGCCAAATGAGAAATGCACTGAATTTAACAGATCAAAAAGCTTCAAAAAAAATAATAAATGAATATATCCTATACATATTCAATGTAGCAAAAAACGAGAGGTTCCTCGAGTTTCTTTCTTTCCAATCTAGTTATTCTCTCTACAAGAAATGTACACAACTCTCATCATCTCGTGAAGAACCATCAAATGCATATGGATGTGTAAATTTGAAAATGAAGAATAGGCAACAGAAGCTTAAGAATCAAATAGAACGCTAGAGGGTGCAAAATTAGTCATTGTCACGTGCTACCAGCACTCCCGGGAGCACCATTGGTTGATTTGAACTTTGAAAGGTCAACTAGGTCCCCGAACAATTTGTCTTGTGGCTTTGAGGGCTTTCCGGGTGGCACATACAAAGGAGTGGGAACTTGATAAGAGCTGTTGTGGACACCATTGTCCCTCATAGAGAGCCCAGACATTCCTTGGTTTAGGAATTGAGTATTTTGTTGTTGAGCATTACCATAACCATAGCTCGCCATTTGGTTGCCATACATTTGCTGGGAATACATATAAGCCATTTGTCCAGGTGGCATTTGTTGTGGATACAAACCCGCAGGTTGTCCACCTTGGAATTGTTGTTGAGGATGCAAGCGTTCCATCTGATTGCTTTGCATGGCCTGATTGTTCATCATACCTGGCTGTCCACCTTGGAATTGTTGTTGAGGATGCAAGCCCTCCATCTGATTGTTCATCATACCAGGCTGTCCAGCAGTGTTTGGCGAAGCATACATGCCGTGGAGGTATGTACCGCTGGCTAGTTGCTGGCCATTGGCTGATACAAGCTGATTATTTTGCATTGACATAGCATGTGAACTACCAGGCATCACCTGGTTATTGAGCATTGCTAGAGATTGTGAGCTACCTGGCATCGACGGATTATTTAGCACAGGCTGAGCATGAGGGCTGCTCATTATTTGGTCGTCTTCTGCCTCAGTTTCCCACGGAGGAAGGGCAAAAGGATTAGTGCTTTGAGTTCCTATTCAGAAATTGAATGAGCAGAATGAGAAAGGGTCTTAAAACATGAGCAATTCATAGCACCACAGAAATTGGACAAGGAGAGGGTCTTGAAACTTTATAAAGGGTTTTAAACATTAAGCAATTAAGAGTTAAGAAGCATATATTCTTAATGTCTACCCTAATGCGACTTCTATCTACTAGGTCTCTAAATGAACCAGGCAGACAAAGCTCAAAAGGACAAAATTCAAACAAGGCTTCAAGACAACATACATATTCTTTTTAAATCGGTCGTGTTGGCTTGTTGGGCTAGCTTACGTGCACCTCGACTAATCCACCAGGCAGTAGTATTCATCCCACAAGCACAGATTACCAAGGTACACAACAGGCATATTTCCAAGATACTTCATTTTTGTTTTTTAGCAGGTCCTTAATACTGTAATACAAGTGGAAAGCATGCAGGATAAAATAGGAATCACCGTAGACTGGAGAAGCAGGCTGTTGTTGCTGTGACATCTGTTCGTTCCAGGCAGGAGTGGAGCCTTGAGCGTAGCTCCTACCAGGAACACTTCCATTTGGGTACAAAGATGGCTGTACAGGATAAAAATTCTGTTGCTGCTGAACTTGAGGGGATGAAGGATGTGCCTGACCAACTGAATTTGTAGAGGGTGTGGTGCTTGGCTGTGCAAACATGTCGAAAATAGCAAGGGCATTCTGATGTGAAGGACTTGCTGGCTGAGGTTCTCCAACAGGAACAAGCGCAAGAGCATTCTCAGCTGTTGGTGAGCCAAAGTCAATTCCACTCAGAAGATCTATCATAGGGACAACTTCTGTTGGAGTTGTTGATTGACCATTAGCCGATGGAGGAGCAGGAAGTCCTAAAGCACTTGATGCAGATCTGGATAGCACAACATACATGTTTAAGCAACAACAATAATGTACCCAGTACAATCCTACAAAGTGGGGTCTGGGGAGGGTAGAGTGTACGCAGACCCTTGAGTTGAGGGTCTATCAGAAACAGCTTCTCTACCTCTAAGGTAAGGTAGAGAGGTAGAGATTTATTTATTTTTGTAAGAAATATTAACTGTCCGACAAATATTCGATAATCTAGGGAATTCATGTCAACTGATTTTAGGTATGAGAATCTGATATCCAAATTTCTCAGATCCTTCTTGAAACCAATACATCATCTTAAAAGTCTTTTAAAAAAAAAAATTTAATACGGGCAAAGCCCATTTCAAAAGTCAAGTTATTAAGAAAAGGCTAAAAAAAAGTGTACATTAGATTGGTAAGAAGAAATAAGAAAGAATTTAAGTACCCTTGGTCTGACTTGTTGCTGGTTCCAGTATCAATAAGAGGACTATCAACATCTACAAGGGATCGGGAAGGTTCAGATTTTGATGTTTCCCCTTTAGCAGAAGTTCCCGATGAAATAGCTTCATGTTTGGCCAATAAACGCTGTAAGTCATCATTCAGTGCTAGTCCTTGGCATAGCAGTGACTCATCCCTGGATCAGGTAAATGTAAGGTTCACAGGAACCACATATGTGGTGCGTGACAAAGATGGGAGAAGATAGATGACAGATAAAACGTCCATCTTAAATTCAAAAATTTTTAAAGTTCAATATTTTATAGTAATATGGCTATTCTCTGCAATTTACAAGAAGTTAATGACCCATCTGAGAGAAAAGGTTAACTCAAATTACTTGAATTTTACAGTACATTTAACAACAATAGATGGAGAAAGAATATTTAGCCTTCAACTTTTATATCTAGCTCAGAACAATCCCGGGTGAAACATGTAAGAAGCTTCAGCTTTCAAATAAATATTTAGATTGACCCTTAGACTAGAAATAGAAGCATTCTGTAATTACAGGAGTTTAAGGTTAATTTCAGAAATAAGAAGCATATCAAGAAGAAAAAGAAGCACATCAAGATATCTAGAAAAACGTCACGAGAAATGGTCAAGTAAGACAAGGCCTTACGTAGTCGAGTTCACAAGGTGTACCAATCTCTGTTTGTAGGTACGGCATTGTTCCACCAAATCAACAATCACATCTTGTCTGAGTCCCTGTAACCCCACATGCAAATATATTGCATCAAATAAAGAAAGACATAATTCAATAAAAGTAAACTGAGCAAGAATGAAAATATCTTAGAAGGAACAATCCCTTGTTTCAATTTTTTTCTGTTCCAATAGTCCAATTAGCATCTAATTTTAAACATCTAACTTGTTGAATCAAAATATTTGGTCTCAATACTTCAATACACTAGCGAGGGACCATATCCCTTTAGACATATTATGCATATGGACTTTACCTCTTTGTTTTCAGGACCTAATGCATTCAGCATTTCAGCAAGGACATCCATAATACCACGTGCATTCTGGATCTCCGTCAAGCTAACAATAGAAACATGCAAAAAGGAATCAAAGAAAATTAATTAGCATAGCAATAAACATGCATACATTATCTTTATAGTGTATTGTTATTCATACTTGTTTATGACGTAAATTTTTCTGACCATTTGTAATTGTAATACAACTGGATACCAACAAGAAACCTAAGAGAAAAACTCATAAAATGTGAAATGGTAGTAGGATCACTAGGTTGTTATCATCTTAAACCTGAAGTCTAATTATACTGCTTTCAGCTTCTTAAGGAAATTCATAAATGAACTCAAAAAAGAGATTTCCCATAGAAATCCATTTTTTAAATCCACACATAGCACATTTTCACGAGTGGCAGAAAAACAAAAGTAATAAACATGCATATGTTATCCTTATGGTTTATTTTGTTCACACTTGTTTATGAAGTAAATTGTTCTTACAGTTTGTAACATAATTGGATGACAACAAAAAACCTAAGAGAAAAACTCATGAAATTGGAAATAGTAATCAAATCGTCAGGTTTTAATTGTACATCTCAAACCTGTCTAAGTCTAGTTTTACCCTTTTTTGGTTCTTAAAAATATGGGAAAAAGGACAAATATACCCCCGAACTATCGTAAATGGTATGCAGATACCCTTCGTCATACTTTTGGGACATTGGTGCCCCTGCCGTCCAAAAACTAGAGCATATATACCCTTTATACTAACGGACATACACGTGTCATAATCTTATCCGCCGATTAATTATCGGATCGACAGATAAGATTGCGCCACGTGTCCCTATTTAGTCTTCCGTTAGAATGAAGGGCATATATGCTCTAGTTTTTAGACGGCAGGGGCCTCAATGCCCCAATAGTATGACGGAGGGTATCTGCATACCATTTACGATAGTTC